CGCGTGCGCGCCGGCCGGTTCGTCCCTGTAGGTGGCAGGGGGCGGCTCGGGAGAGGCCAGAGGTAGAGACTGAGGAGACTGGATTCAGTTCCCGAAGGTAAGACGCATGCCAGCTCAGTGGACTGGGGCAAGTGACTCAGGCTCCCTGGGCCTCAGTTTTCTCTCTCTGTAGCGCTGCTTACCTCACAGGCTTTTGTGAGCACTTGCTGAGGTGACGCGGGTGTAGCGTCCAGGGCGGGTCCCACGGGCTGTCATTCCGGGTGCGGGCGCCGCAGGGAGGGAGTCGGCCCGGGGCCTCAGGCTGACCCCGCGGCGGCCTGAAGCAGTCCCCGACGGCTGGGCTGAGCGGGGCTGTCGCGGCCCTGAGCCTCAGGTTTGTTTCCCTCTGGGCCCGCCTGTCCCTGTTTTATAATTGCTTAGAACTGAAGGTGCAAGATGGACTTACAATGGATGTAAAAGGCCTGAGATGGGTTCCGTAGCTTGGACTTGAAGTTTATCGGAGACAAGGAGGGAGTAAAAGAATCATAACTATAGAGACTGTCATTATAGAATGCTTCCGGCAGTTTGTGCTTTTAATCTTCACCTAGTATGGAGGGATTCCAATATTACAGGCGAGAAAACAGAGGTATCATAGTGGGGTCAAGATCAGAACCCGAAGCCATGCTTCCAACCTACGCGCTGAGTCCTTCCGAAGCTCTGGAGCTCAGGTAGACTCCCACCTTGGAACGTTACCACACTTACATTCCATGGTGCAGAGCGTTGAACCTGGGAACGTTACAAGAATGAGGACTTGCATCCAAAGAGTCTTGATCTAAAAGGATTTTTCTTATTAAAAAGGAAACCTTTATGGATTGACGGATGGGTAGATATATGAGAAAGCAAGTGTAGCAGAATGTTAACAGTATGATCTAGACGGTGGGTGTATTCGGTGTGTTCACTGTACCATTTTTTCAACCTTCCTGTATATTTGAAAACTTATAATAAAATGTTGAGGGGAGTTAGGAAACACAAAGTATTAGTGCTAGCAATAGCAAGAGAATAAAACCAGACGTTGAATCTGAATGTAGTTGAGCCTTTTAAAATCAAAACAAACAAAAAATTAGGAGAGACACGTAACTACTGAATATGTAGCTTTTTGGAAGGCAGATTGATCATATATATATCAGGTCCTGATTATACACATATACCTCTTGATCCAGTAATTCCACTTGTAGGATATTATCACAAGGACATAAGAAATCCTCACAATAAATTTTGTGTATTCATTACATTCTGTTCAATAAAAAAATATTAAATTCCTGATAATAAAGGAGTGGTTCAGACAATAATATTGAATGTTACACAAGTATTAAATGATGTTTTGAAGGATATTTAGGTCATGCTAATTTAGTAATAATTAAAATTAATTTAAAATGTTGTACACATATGTATTATGAAGGAATTTATTAAACTCGTTGACACCAGTTCTCTAGAGAATGCAGTTGTGGGAATTTTCACTTTGGATGTCATACACTTGTATAAAGTTGAAGATTGTTACTGCAACTGTTTTATTTTTATATTCTTAAAAAAGAGGAAATGTTATGCAATATTATTCAGTTGTGTAAAAGAGAATACTTTTTTTTTCATTGCTTACAACAAAAAGGCACAGAAGAAAATAACCTTCCAAATGTTTGTGGAGATATCTCTTGATGAAAATGACTTCTATATTTTTATTTATGCTTTTCTGTGTTTATGAAATTGCCTGTAATTAGCATGTACTACTTTCATAATTGGAATAAAACAATAAATTATTTCTACAATAAAACAATCAGAACCATCTGTTGTATTCTGGATTATGTAAAGCTTCCAGTTCTTTGCTGGCCTTCAGAAGGCAAGCAGGAAAGAGCCCTGACCAGAATATATAGGAGCTAATGTATCCTGAAAGCATCCTAAAGTCCAGATGCCTCCTCATTTTGGGGTTGTGCTTATGTGTGTTAAAACCACCCTCTGAGTCCTACCACTCCTACATGATTGTTGCCTGGAAAGTGCTGTTGGAGACGGATGGGTAGTCTCCTAGGGAGACAGAAATGGAGTCAGCTAAGTGACCTAATAGGACTCTAGGTGTAAATAGTAATGATTCAACTTGTCTTGTGCAAAGTCTTGGTTCACACCTAGCCTAGAAAATGTGCCCAGATGCGGGGATGCGACAAGTATGGCCTTTCTGGATTAGAAGAAGACAGCTAAACTGCTATGAGTCATTTGTGATCATCTAGGGAATCCCAAAGGTAGGTTTTATTTCTGTGAGCCCAGGTACTAACCTTTGCAGGTTAGAACCCAAAGGAAGCCAAAATTACTTGAGGCCTATGGGCTCCATTCTCTACTGAGGCCTCAGATGCTAGGCAGGGACATCCTTTTGAGCTTTTGCTCGTCCAGTTATTCAGCATCATCAATTGCATGCTATAATTTAGGACCTGTGTGCAAGCAGTGATACAACTCTGTCCTCAAGGTGTATATGCAAGTTGCTATTCAGATGTTCATTTAGAGGACGGTTGTGATAAGGATAAACTGCTGTGAGACCACCTAATGCAGTCTTAGCAATTATATATAAGGAAGGCTTCCAAGAGAAGATGTTTAGGTTGAGCCCTGAGGGACCAGTAGAAATTAACCATAGAGAAGAAGGGGAAGGCTTTTCGGACAAAAAGAACAGCATGAGCCATTGCTCAGATCGAAGAGATCATGGCAGGCCAGGGACAATCCCTACCACCCTACAGAATGGCTAAGGCAAAGAGTTCAAGTAGGAAAAAGTAGAGAGAAGGAGCTGGGACTGGGGCTTGCAAGGCTTAGTAGACTATCTTATGGAGTTTGGACTCTACTGAGGACAGTGAGGAGCCATTGAAGAGTTCTAAGGAGTTATGTTGGGATGAGAAGGGGCAATTGAGGGGGTGGGAGGTCGGAGTAGGACAGGAGACTGAGAGCTAATTTGACTGGAGGGCAGCTGCAGGATTGTAGGAAAGGAGAGGGAGTCAGGGAGAGATGTGGCAGCAGCCATTATAGGGAAACTTGGAGAAAGAGGAGAGGTAATTAAGGGGTCAGGGTAGGAAGATTGCTGTGTAAATCACAGTGTAAGCCCCCTCCTGTGACTTCATTAAAAATCTACATTATCCATTGATGATTTTAAAGTTGGATTCGTATAGTTCTGGGAAGATATGACAGTGTGCTCAGATTAACCTAAAGCTGCATATAGTTAAGAACAGGTTACACAGGGGAATAATGGGAGTGGGTGCAGGTAGACACCAACAGGGAGACCACTGTGGTCACCCAAGCAAGAGATGCCAGTGGCCTGATATAAAGGGACAGAAATAGACCCACTCCCACATTACTTCCCCATGTAACCAGCTAGTCAACAGACCACTTGGGGCTATCCCTGTTAACTATATGCACCTTTAGGTTAATCGGAACACACTGTCATATCTTTGGATGGACATCCAGTCTATCTCCAAGTCCTATGATTTTGTGTCCTTGGGATACCTCATATCCTATCTCATAAGACTTGGAGATAGACTGGACGTGGGAGCTGAGGAAGGAGAAGGAGTCCGGGTCAGTTCCCAGGTTTCTGGCTTGGGGTACTGGTTACGCAGTGGTATTGTTCTGAGATGGGGAATAAAGCAGAAGGAACTAATCTGGAGAGGATGGACAATGATGAGTTCAGATGTGTGGAGGATGTAAGAAGGAAGGATAAGATGTGATGGCTCCAGCTCTGTGTGCCTTCTCCACTGAAAACAATTCCAGGTGCATGACCAGGTGATGGTGGATGACACTGGAGTCCTCAGATACATGGGATACAGGGAGGAGCTTTAACTATATGGGGGCCCAATAAAATTCATCTTTCCTAATATGATGGTAAGAATGGCACCAATGGGATTGTCTTCAGATTGAAAAGAAGCCTTTGTTAAGAGTTAATGCATTTCCCACAGCAAGCCATTTACTCCCTACTAGGGAGTAGGGCAGTGCCCAATAAAAAATAATAATAAAACAATTAACAGTGGGGATAAAACATTCTATGAACCTGCCCATCTGGTTTCCTCCCTTTCCCTATGACGTCAGCCCCCTCTGGCATGCCAGCCCTCTCTGCCAGGCTCAGTCATGAGCTTCTGCCAGACCCTCGCCCCTGGGAGCAGTGGGCAGAAGAGGAAGTGATGGGGGAGTAAACCATTGGTGGGAAAATGAGTCATCTCAGCGAAACTGGTCCAGGCTGGCAGGGAGGTCTTGGGCTGGGTCGCTGTGGAATGTGCTTCTGGTCACTGCACCCCGGGAGCTTTCTGTCATTCTTTGCCACTATATTTGTGCGATGGAGTAAAATCAAATGTATTCTGGAGATCTACGTAATTAAGAACTGAGCCATGTAGGGGAGGAAGGGGAGAAGCAGCAGCAGAACTAGGAGGTTTGGAGAGAGTTTGGAGGGAGGTGCAGAGAGCTTTAGAGAAGCAAGTGTCATGTGTGGGAGGATGAGAAGAGGAAAAAGATGGGAAAGATAATTGAAGAAGAGTTGCAGTACGTTGTGAATATTATTCCCCTTTGATGTTCTCTTAAGAGACTGCAGAAAATCGTTAACATTTTCAGTTATTTTTGGATAATGAACTGATGTTTCTTTGAATGTGGCCAGGCAGATAGAAACCCAAGGGCCTGCTTTTATATGAGGTGCATACTGAGTTTGTAGCAGCCTTGTTGCTTTATTTTTGCCAACTTGCTGTCTTCTGAGATGGAGTCCTCGAATAGCTTGTCATTGTCAAGGCTTCTTTTTCTTGGATTCACAGGGCTTCAGGGATCAGTGAACCACTGCCTCCCCAGCAAAACCCAACCCATACCTCCCCCAGTGCTAATATGTGCACAGTAGCTGAATCTCCTTCTGTCTGACTGAGGCTGGCTCTCCCCCTCAGCCAGCACATGTGCAGGGCTTCTGTGAATGTCACATTGACAAACGTTCCCTGGAGCTAGGCAGC